CGTCGAAGCTTCCAACGCTTCTGCCCATTCACTTTGAATGGGGTGACGTCACTTTCAGCCGAACTGCATTTTGGGAAGCGACGCGGAGCGTTGCTGGCATTGCTCGCTTCAAAAGTGAGCAATGTTCAAACTTTTGACGCCTCGACGGAGGCGTCAGCCAATCGAATCATATGCCAGTACAAGCTCTAGCCAATCAAACCGCGTCCTTGTGTGTCTGGGGCGGGAGATTCATGTGATTGGTTGTTGGTCAAGCGTCAACGCACGCCGCTGTGTGGACGGGCCGTAAGGGACTTTGACCGAACACTGTGCACCCCCCTTTAGAAGGAGAATGTGGCGCAGCAATGCATGAAGGGAACATAGTCACTCGTAAATCTGACCTCTGTGAGTAGGACAGTCAAAGGACAATAGCGTGACAATAAAATAACTTCAATTGCATAACAACACTACTACATTCTACTCTTCTATTTCTCACATCTGCTTATCTACTTCCTCCTTCACCCCATGGGCAAAGTCTTAGTTGTCATTAGATGAAGCACAAGAAAAGCTGGAGAAAAGTTCCAGGGAGAAAGTCAGTAAGTCACAATGAGGCAGTTCTTCTCCTCCTCTGCTCTCCTCTGGCTTTAGTTGAAATAAGATCAAAGCTTTGAGCTTTTTGGTAGCCTTGGTCAAAGAACATGCCATATATAATAACTTATTAATCAATAATAAATGGTACCTTTGTTGCATGTCAAACCCTATCCCTCCCCAACTCTACACTGCCCTTTGTTAAATAAGCTGTGGTTAAAACAAACCATCTCAATAAGGAGCGCCCATTTAAATTCACATTGTTAAACTCGGCAAAATACAAAAAACAAATGAACACATACGGTACAGAGCGTAGGTAACATGCATGCAAGTACACACACAGATGGCGGCATTTAATAAAGTGGAGAAAACCTATACACACAGACAGTGTGAACAGTCAGAAGTGATTACAGTTTCCTTAATTGCACACAAAAAATTGTGCTTTACTTTTTCACAAAGCCATTTTATTGTTATTGCTGAGGAAGCAAGTTCTACCCCAAGGTTGTTTGATTCCCACTCTCCTTATGCTTGCCTTTAAAACACAATCAAACAAAACTGTTGTACAAAACTGTTGTTTTTAGGGTGCTCAGTGAAACAATGCAATTACTGCTAATGTGGTTTTGTATCCAGCCACAACAACACCTTATGTCAACATGAAACTTTAGACAACATCTAAGCCGGCAGCTCCTCTGTAATTTACAAGTTCTTGACAAAACAAGGACAAATTCTTAGTGAAGTAGAAAGTCAGAAAGCTTAAGTCAAACAAAAGGTCTGTGTTTGTCACATACTATGAAATTAGGAAAACTATGGCAAGACTTTACAAATAGCAGTGCACTAGGTTGAACCTACCTTCCAGCTACGTATCAGACCTACACACTTATACATAAATGCACACAGATAAAAAGAATGAATGTTCAAACCACCTTTGTCCAAGCAACGAACCCAACCTTGCAGACATAAAAGTGCAAGTGGAGAGCGAACATTTTTGACAGACAGAGTCATTGTGCTTCTACTCACTCTCACTCTCTAAGTTTAGAAAGCCCCTTTGCTGTGAAAGCTTCAAGGTTGCTACAGTGGTGATACAAGGGATGGCGATTGATCGAAATAGCCGCTCTAAATTGTATAATGAGTATGAGGTGATGGGATCATGATTTTATTTTCCTCTCTGAGAGCTTATCAACTCATGTTATATTATCTACTCTAGGAGCTAAATCCATCCACTCAAAACTGCTCACCTTTAGAGAGACATGGAAGAGAGAGAGGGACTGACAAAAAGAGACAGAAGCAGAGAATGGGAATTGTACATCTGTGTACAATGTGTGCATATGTTATGAATAATTGGCACAGTTGATATTGTTTATGATGACCCAATGTAGTGTTACACCTCTATGTTTACAACGGCATAAAACATGATACAAACATGACACACATCTTGATGAACAGTTTCACTTTGAAATTCAATTCCCTTTTAAGTATGGCAGGATGATTACAAACCTTTTAATTCATAAATATCAAGTCTTTGGGATATAGATGTGTGTCTATAAGAATAAATGCAAACCTTCTAAGACTCACACATACACACATTTCTATCGACACCGATCCTCCTTTTTTGTGGCCTTCGATGTGACGAAACAACAAAGCTGCTGCGATGACAATTGTTCAAGCTTTGAAGCTAATTTCCAGTTGATGAATTTCCACCGGAGCTGCTTTGTTGTTTGAAAGACTCAAACAGCTAATTATAAGAAACGATAGTCAGAGAAATTTGTTCTACAAATGGCTTTTGTTGAATTGAAATTAATATGCGACAATTTCCCCGTCGCACAAAGTCTTAAATGATAGGTTTTGCTTTCTACATCACACTATTTTGACAATTGTGATTCTGAATTAGCTCTATTTGATTCACTGAACAAATTAAACATTGACTTTAATTAAATGTATTATGTCAACAGGTTCCACATAATTGTATTTGAAAGCAATAGTTTTGTGAACGTATTATTTTGAATTTAAATGTTATATTATTGCTTTCATCTAACCTAATACAATTATGTGTAATTTGTTACATAATACATTTATTTAAGCCAACGTTTTTTTTCCTTCAATGTAGACGGTAAGAGAAACAAGAAAAGATGAGGATGGAGCCAGAGTAGGTACATAGAAAAAGAGTAGGTGAGTAAAAGGGATTCTGAGTGAATGATAGTGAAATAGAAATAGACAGAAGAATAGAAATCAGACAAAGATGGACAGACTAAGATAGAGGGTTTAATGCAAAAATAGGAAGCAAGGATTGATAGAGTAGAGTAACTGAGACGGAGAACGATAGCGACAGAATGCCACGAGCATATGTGAAGAACAGAGAGAGATACAATGAGGAAAGAAACAGAGAGGCAACACAAAACACACAAGGCACCCTCCCTCCCCCTGTCGGGCGAAGAGAGACCAGTGCAAATGAGATCGACTCATTTCCAACACATAGACACAACCACCAACCCCCATCTGTCTTTGACAAACACACCCTCTTACACACACAGGCAAACACACACTAGCAACAGCAACCAGAGATGAAAGGAATCAATAGATTATAAGCAGACATCTGAAGAGTCCAGTCTACTCCTGAGAGGATCAACCATAATTGGTCCAGACAAACAGCCAAAGGACAACAACCGTAACAAAGCGTCCACGCACAACAAATGCAGCAATTAATAAATCGTAACAGGAATAGCAAATTAAATCTATAAACAAATATCGACAGTGCTTTGAACACATCTCATTTATTTGAGGCTTTTTGTTGTGGTCTGCCGGTTTCAGAGACAACAGCATTTGCATATCTAAATGAATGGCCTTCACATCTGCACCATGGGTTTTGATTTTAGAAGCTCGTTAGATGTTGATCGATGAACAATTTCATGTGTTTTATACAGGCTGAAAGGTAGTGATCGAATAAAAAACTGTGGGGCTCGGGATACTTAAACGTGGGATTGAATTCTCTCTACAGTTCTTGTTATTCACATCAAAGGCTGTACGTGTGTTCCACTCTGTGTTTGTGTGCAGATGAAGAGTGGAATAAACAAGTATCTGGTGCATCTAATTGATTCAGTGAATCCGCAGTGATACTGGAGGTGTGACTGAGGACCATGTCCAACGGCACAATGATCCCTTAAGGTAGGGTAGCTCAATCAATCTCTTTAGATCTTCATGCACAAACACAACTGAATAAAGCAATGGGAAAAACGGTGCTGCCGTGTCAAGTGGTGTTTTTGTATGAGATTCAAGGCTTTGCTGCTTCAGTTCTTAAGGCCCTGACACACCAGGCCGATATCGGCTGTTCTCGTAAGTCGGGAGACGAAGCGTGTCCTGTCGCCCAAACTCAATTTGGTGTGTCCCGCACCGTCGACCGTGACACGCCTTATTTGGACTGCCTGTCCCGATGCATGGCCGATTCAACATGTTGAATCGGCCATGCATCGGGTCTGGCAGTCGGACCAAACAATCACTCTGATTGGCTGTTCAGCTAGCGAATCAGTGCATGAGAAGCGAAACGGAAGTGAGGGACGTAAACAAACGATTTAAGAAGGCACACACAGACTGATATTCATTTTCATCTCATCATGGCGATCTGGAATGATGCAAACGAAGACCTGCTCATCACATTGATCCAGGAGAGGCCAGCTCTGTACGACATCACAGAGAAAAGGTACTCGAACCGAGTAGTGAAAACCGGACTCTGGCGAGAGATTGAAACGCAACTTGGTTTCTCGGGTAAGATTACCTTTTTCATCAATTGAGCTCTTTAGCAGATATTGTTGGCTTTTTATTGTGTGCCAGCGTACAGTGACGTTAACGTGAAATGTAATTTGTTATTTCAACATTGTGTTTTGTTGTTATCTTGTTGCTAGCTGTGCAGTTTGTCACTGCATATAGATATGAATTGGACATGCTAACTAGCCACAATGCTTACATCGTTTATTTGTGTGCTTCAGAGAAAGAGCTGAGGAAGAAGTGGGATTCTCTGCGAACCCAGTACACCCCCCAGATAGCAATTACCTTTGGGCCGGATCCGCACGAAAGCCTTTAGATCCGTTTGTAGCTCACACCCTTTTTTTGACTGTGGGCCAGATCCACACTAGATAGAGCTTTCAGCCTAAACATTCCATTTGCAAGCAGCGCAGTATTTTTGCTGGTTTACAGATTTGGCCCAGATCCGTAATACGTATTTGAGCCGCAAGCGCCAGAAATCATTGGAATGGAACAAATCAAAAATAATATGGGGGTGTAATGTCTTCATATATTTCTTTGATTATTGAATTGAAACGTTAAAATAAAATATAACATTGAAAACGAAAAACTTAACACAAAAATAGTCTCCTACACTAATGTGGCATTGTACGATTGAATAAAATATTAAACGATAGATTAATATTTGTTCATTACGCTAATGCCCACTATCCATAATCCAAGTAGCCTACTCTGAGCTTTCACAGCCAACGTTCGCCGGCGGCAAATTCACTCAAGAATGATCAACTCAAGTAAGTATAGCCAACATTTTTGTTCTAATTTTGTATTTGTGGTTGGTATATATGTGTATGTATGCGTCGATTGATACGCAAGTGACTCAAAATGCTGAACTTTTTTGTCAAAACTCTTAGTTGATCATAGTTTAGATAAGCTAACGTTAGCGTTAGCCAGTGGATAGGATAGCCGAGCAAGTTACAGCCTTGAAGAGTTAATATTAATTTAACGGTGGAACAGTATGTCAAGTAAAAAAAAAAAGCAAGATTAATGTATAACTTTAATATTGAACTTTTATTCGAATAGTGACGTTAATGTGAGTGGAGGCATTGTGCTTTTAAAGGCGGGCTCAGATGGCAGGAGAGTGGTTTGCTGAAGACTCAATTTGGCATTAAACTTGGTAACACACAAAATAAGTTTAACTTGTAGTAAACTTAGACGTCGATATAAATGACTTATGCGAGTATGTTTCCATCCCCACATGCGTATTAAATCTTACGTTTCAATTTGTATATTTTATATTTCAAGTATTTGCTTTTTACTGATCTTGGTGGGTATACATTAGCCTGAATGATTCACAACATTACGTTAGTAAATCTTACTTAAAATTAATTTAATTAATTAATTATGATAAATGTGAACCATTACCCAGAAATGTTAAACCACTTATAGCGCTTCTTGATTCGTGTGTTGCTCGTTCACCAAAGTTAAATCTGTCCTGCCCTGTGAAGCCGCCTTTTCTGTGTCATGGAGTCATCGATTTACTTCAGCTTTAAGATTCGCTGTCATGTGTGTCCTTGTAATGTGCTATATGAATAAAAGACTGAACATTTGGAGGGTGTGCTTGTGCATGTGGGGGTTGGGTAATCGAGAAAGGGCATTTGTTCAACTGTCAATTTTACGTATCCTATGGATTCAGCATTTCTTAATATTGTTTGTGCATCAAAACTTGAATGTGTGGCTTTAATTTAATTTTAGTTTAAAAATGTTTGCTTAAATGTGTTTTTTAATTAAACCATCACTTGTATTTATTTTCCAGATGCTGCACACATGATGTCTACTGTTCAAATTAAGGTATAACTTCTTACACACTTAGGATTCAACATTGCAACAATAAATAAAAAAATAAAAAAAATATTTAAATAAATAGTAATATTAATAAATACAGAGGGAGAGAGAGTGAGGGAGAGAGTGCGTGAGTAAGTGAGAGAGAAAGTGTGAAAGAGAGTCAACTTATTTAGTTAGTATAATTAATTGTTGTTAAAAAAATGAACAGATGCAAAACACCCGTGTCTAATTCTGCACTGAGAAGGAGAGCCAGGGTAGAGCTGGGCAGAAGGCTGAGGGATATTGGTGAGGGTGTGCGTGCAGTCATACTACCTCCCAAAGAAACTGCACGATTGCCACCTGATGATGGTGCTTCTACTTGGTTACAACCTGAGGTTCAGCAGTTATATTGGACCCCTTAGCAGCTATGGGCCCTGTATCAGAGGACAGGTGTCAAGGTGATTATGATGACACCAACAGTCTGGGAGCAATCTCTGACTGTGAGGAACCTGAGAACCTCAACAGTCGCCTATCCAACTGGGCCTTAAACTATGGGGTTTCCCATATTGCAATTACTGCTCTCTTGGCCAATTTAACAATTTATCACCCTGAGTTGCCAAGGGATGCAAGAACCCTGTTACGGACCAGAACAGTGTATACTGTGAAGGAGCTATGTAATGGTCTCTATCATTACTTTGGCATTGTGTCAGCCCTTAGTAAGACACTGTGTCAGTGGAAGGACAAATTGGTAGATGGTTGTTGTTTAAGACTTCAGGTTGGTATAGACGGTCTGCCACTCTTCAAGAGTTCAAATGTGCAGCTATGGCCAATTTTGGGTCTTCTAGTTGGTGTTCCAATGAAGGAGCCAGTGGTGATACGACTTTTTTCCGGTACAAAGAAACCTGATTCCTCTCGGACACTCCTGGAAGACTTTGTCTGTGAGCTTAAAGAACTACAGGAAGGTTTTAATTATGAGGGGAAAAGGTTCACTATGAGACTTCATTCGGTCATATGTGACACACCTGCCCGTGCTTTTATTAAAAACATAAAATCCTTCAATGGCTATCATGGATGTGATAAGTGTAATCAGAACGGGGTATATATCAATAATCGCATGACCTTCCCCTTCCTGAATAGTGTGGATAGGACAGATGAGGCCTTCCTAAGACAGGACGATGAAGAGCACCACCTGGGTCCGCATGGCTTTGTGGGTCTAGATGTTGGACTGGTCTCCCAGTTCCCACTAGACTATATGCATCTGGTGTGCTTGGGTGTTGTCAGACGGCTCATTCATCTCTGGACCAAAGGCCCATTAACTGTGCGACTTCCCTGTAGAGATATTAATAAAATCTCAGATCATCTAGTTAACCTTAAACAATATATCCCTAGGGAATTTGCACGTAAGCCACGGCCACTCAAGGAAGTGGATAGGTGGAAGGCTACTGAATTTCGGCAATTTCTCTTGTATACTGGGCCTGTGGTGTTGCGTGACGTGTTGAATTCAGCCCTTTATTCTAATTTCATGCTGTTATCCACGGCCATTTCCATACTGGTGACTCCTTCTCTGACTGCTACACACAGCGATTTCGCAAACAGCCTGCTGCATGCATTTGTCAGCCATTTTGGTGGTCTGTATGGAAAGGATCTAATTGTTTACAACATACATGGCTTAAGTCATCTAGCCAATGATGCAAAAAAGTTTGGCAGCTTAGATCAAATATCTGCATTTCCCTTTGAAAATTACCTGTGCAAAATCAAAAGCTTTGTCCGCAAACCGTCATATCCCCTTGCCCAAATTATTCGACGGCTGTCAGAGGAACGCTCATTTGACCATGAGCCTATCCTGAAACCCCTGTTTAAAAAAAAACATTCTCGAGGTCCTGTACCTGCTGGCACAAGTGTTATCAATCAATATGATGAAATACAATTAGAAAAATATACAATACAAACCAAATCAAAAAACAATATTTTCATGATAAGGGGCAATGTCTGCAGCATTATGAATATCATTGAGTGCCAGGATGACATGTATGTGGCATACAAGCAATATGAGGACACTACACCGTTTTTTACGTATCCTATGGATTCAACATTCCTTAATATTGTTTGTGCATCAAATCTTGGATGTGGCACTAAATTTAGCAAACTTTCCAAAATGTACCAGAAATGTGTGGCTTTACCCTACATGGACAAGCTAGTGATCATTCCCTTGTGTCACACAAAGGACTAGGGAATCAAAGATCTTTCCAAGTTTATTTTTTAAACAATTTTGAATCCGTTTTTTTAACAACTTTTTTTTCAATTTGTTACTTTTTGTATAGAAGTTTTGTGGAGTCGTTTTCACCGAAGAGAACACAGTGAATTTGGTGGCATCAAACTGGTACGTCGATGGCAAATGCTGGTGGCCAAATGATGCTACTGATGACAAGATTAGCAAGGCCATCAGGCGATTCGAGGAGCCGGGCCCTGGGTGGAGGTCATACAGTGCTCGTTTGATTTTTGAAAGAGGTAAAAAATTTAAATTCAGATGTTTACCAGGGATGATTAAGATGTTGGGTGATAACTGTCATGTTCTTTCATCAAACTAGATGACTTAATTGAAGCAACACAAAAATTAAAGGAGTATTTGAATAATGGCACTGCTGGTCTGAAGCGGAGGACCAGCCCCGAAAACGAAAACGGAGGGAAAAAAAGTATGCACACAATAGTTACAGTTATTGGTTATAATAGAACTATTGTTTCTTGTCACTCAAATATTACAACCTACGAATCAGACACTGACTCTGAGCCGGTGGCCCAAAAAACGAGGGGTGTTATTTCCGCAAAATGCGGCGACGTTACCCTTCATCCCACCACCCTGCTTCAGTAAGTCTAACTATGATGAGTCCACTATTGGTGGCACTCCAGTGTTTTTTTTTAATTAGTTTCATTGCCGTATGTTGATATATTTTCATACGTTCTATTAGCTGTAAATTCTCAGGACCACCAACGACCACCACCACAACAACCCTGCATCTGTAAGTTTACCTTTCATGGCTCCTTTAATGGTGGCCGCTCATGGCTCCACACACACTCACGTTTCGTTTCTATATGTTGATATGTTTCTATATGTTCCATTAGCTGCCAGTTCTCATGACCAACACCACCTAAACGACATCAGCTGGAACACAAGGCGTCTGGGGTCTGTGGGTGAGACATTAACTGGTAAGAAGTTTCATCCTAATGTAACAGGTTCATAAATGTATGTATAAAATATATATAAAGATGTGTGTGTATGCACCCACACACACACTTATATGCCAGTTTATTAGGTGCATCTAGGGAAAGCTAATGCAGTCTATTACAACAGTCCTGCAATAAATACCCCTTCCTGATCTTTGTTGAAAGAGTTTAAGAGAGATGGCGATTCAACTGTATGTTATTGCTGTTGATGTATTTATCTTATACACTTATATATGTTGATTACTTTGTGCTGTGCCACTGCAAGTCCTATTCCTGCCTATTGCCAACACTGCCTCTCTTTTTCTCGCTTTCCGTTGATGTCCACCATCTATTAGGCAATGGCATTTTCACAGTTACTCCACCTGAAAGACATCCACCATTTATGAGTCCAGATTTCAGTTACCCTGAATTGTCCACATTATAATCTGCTAATCACTATTGATTTGCCTTTTGCCAAATAGCCAGCGACGGTCGGGACCAAGGAGGCAGGGGTCATTTCACACAATTAATGGGGCCCACAATACCCAGAAATGAGCATGTCTTCAGGCCCACATTTAGGGTTGGGGGTGATAGTGGCCCGATTCCCTGCACAGGTAAGACAAATCGTGATAGTATTGTATCTTGAGTTGCTCTGCGAATCCAACCCACACACATTTCCCCTATACTAGTATATTTTGAATGGTTAGGCTAAGTTTTTAATTTAGGAGTGATATCAAAATTCTATTAACTGGCTAAGCATTATATGGTCTTGCCCTATCAAATATCTTTATTTTTCCACATTATTTCAGCTGCAGAGCTGCATGGCCTGTTGCTGCTAGAAAATATTAAGCAGCAGGTCAACCAGTTAGCAGGAACTTTAAACATTTTGATGGCGAAAGTAGGATCAGGCCTGCATGCCCCAACCTACGAGATGCCCGAAGAGTTCGAATTCCCCCTCGACAGCGATGGGGAATTGGAGCGTTTCGAAGAGTGGCTCCGCAACCCTCTAAACGAAAGAATGAAGACAAATCTTGTAAGTATTTTTATGGGACATGTTTTCATATGCTCAATACAAAATGTTAGCCTTGTTTGTCTTTGAGTTTGTTGCAGTAATGTTGACATGTATATTCAGTTCAGTTTCCATTCTCCACCTAGGCGACTTCGCTCTCCTTTGTTGGAGGGGTGGACACTAAGAGGGTTGTTACCTGCACCGTGGCACGCAGGATCACTTGGAAGGGAGTAAACGGCAAAAGGGCCTTCAATAAAATGGCCATGAAAATCGTTCTTTTCCGTAAGTGTCTTTCCAAATGTTTATTTCATCATAATGGTGTAAAAAGAATTAGATTGGCCTAGTTGAATTAGATTGCATTCACTCAATTTCCATCTTCTCATTTAACAGACACTTCTATCCTACAGGTAAAGTTTAAGCAACAGTTTGTTCTCTTGGAACTGAATCTATTACACTCCCTTAGCCTGTCAATCACTACCTTGTAAGTCTTTCACTTTCTATGTGTTTGCATGTGCTGCAAAGTTTTTCTATTTGTTTTTACACTACGCCCATCATTGGCGGGCCAGGGGTTTATGGTTAGGCCTTCAATGACGATTAATGTTTTATAGGACTAAAAAACAATTGTATCGTTTTAGCATTTAAACGCACACTTTTCAAGCATTTTGACACAACATTTAAAACTCGGTAGCCATACCAAGTTTAATCAAACACAAACCAAGTTTTACATTTTGCAACATGTTGCACATACAAATGTACGGAAGCCTGTTGCTGCCTAGCCAGAAAGAAACCCTGAACAGGATCACAATATTACATGGAAAGTGTATTGTTATAACAAGATGTTTATCATGTGATAACAATATATTTTTCACGTTATAAAGTTAAAATGTTAAAACGTGAAAAACATCACTTTGTATGTTATAACGTGATACTGATCTTTTTTTTTCCTGGCGTGGCAGCCATAAGCTTTAATACAAATGCGCTGCTCGACAGAACGCTGCATGTATTCTTATTTAATTTCGCCATCGGGTGTTACTCAAATGATTGGCAGGTGCTAATATGAATAATAATGTTGAATGTTGGTGTCGTAAATTATTTTGTAAGACATATCCTTTACCCATCCTGTAGCCTTCCTCCAGTTACGCTTCGATGCTAACTCTGCCTAGCAGGCCTTGGCCGTATTCTCCATGTGTGCGTGACAGTATCAAGGTAGCCAAGCCTTTCTGTTATACAATTCGCGGTTGCTTGTGATTGACTGATTAACTGCTCGTGCCTTTTTGGCATCACATTAGATGATTGGCTTAATTTGTGCGTGTCATGTGTTGCAACGGTCAGCAATTGGCTGCTCTACTGCACTGACTGGGAAATGTTCTATCGCCCCAGAAGAGAGGGGATGAACAGGAAGCTAATTTCTTTCAATAACTATTTGTTTATTTTAAAACTATTCATACATTTTTATTTATTTTTAAAACACTGATGGAAAGTGTTTTTTTTTTTTTTACAAACAAAGCAAGAAGGAAAACGAGGAAGGAAGGATAATGAGAAAGAAAACAGACATTTACAGTAAACTAACATATTATGTATGAATGCAATATTTGTCTTAATTTTTGCTTAGCAGGCCCCTGACTGTCCGCCACTGACGCCTACTCTGAATGCCACCTCTATGGTCTCTGTCCCCATTGCATGTGCAGCATGTCTTAACGTTACATTCACCCACTGGCTGTCACTGGTCTCTGTTGGCCATTGCTAAATCACCTTTCTTTGTAGATGGCACTACAGTCTAGCAGTATTAGAACAGTGTAAGAACTTATTTTGTGTGTTTGTTTTACAATAGGTGCAGTGCGCAAATGCGCTATAACGAGTGCAGCGATGGATGCAGACATATCCCAGCATACCATTCGCTGGTTTAACCTGGCAAGCGACAGGGAAGGGGGCCGCCAGGAGAGACAGGAGAGGAGATGTCAAAGCCAGGATACACTGCCCGTCCCCGATCGACAATATTAATTATTTTATCGTTTTTGTTTTTAAGTTTACAGTTCATGTTTTAATAAAGTTTCATGTTCACGTATACAGCAAACATCTCAACGTGTATATTGTTATTTTATGTTTCTGATACCTTGAGTAAAGTAAGTGTCTGAAGTAAATACCACCACCATGATAGTTAGTTTGTTTGCTATGGTCACAGCACATTACCTAATGCCAAACATAATCTGAGGATTTACTTGGTAAACTGCAGACGTGTTAAACACCATCACATGTTGTTCATCATTTACACAGTTCCTCCTTAATTTCGCTTGCCTAGCTCTAAGCTATTGAAAAGTACTTAAAGATCAAATGCAAAGGTTTTTTTTATAATTGCCAGTAAAATCGAAATCATATAGCTACAACACTATCTAAGATATTGCAGTATTAAAATCGGAGATAATATGCGTCTGGCAATGCGCAATATTTATTTTGTTCAACCCCCAACACCAAGTCCGACGATTTATTTTCTCAGCCGCTCCTCCGCAAGATGGCGTCGCGTGACGTCACAGTGGCCAAACAAACAAACAAACCTTGGCTTATCGCTCACAGCTGCTTCCACCGATAGTACAACTTAGTTTCGTTATCATGTCTGATTCTGAGTAGACTATAGACTAAAAGCTTTAGGAATCCAAACTATAACATATAATAAGTAGCCTACCCTGTATCAAGATTGATGCAAAACAAGTGACGTTTGACCTTTTTAGAGAGGTTTAGAAAAATAAAGTCCAGGCGGACTCACCACTGGGTAATTTGGGAACCATCACAACCAAACACAATGCTAACAGTGAGACTCTGAATTAGCCCCGAGCGAAAAATGCTAACCTATTACTGCACCGAAATCACTCCTAGCTCCTTTATTACTTATCCTAGCTCCACATCCAACACATTGTTTATGATCGTAAAGACACAGCATCTAACGGTGCCCACCTCTATAAGCACCCACTCGGCTGAAATAAATGAAAGCATGGCGGAGGGCTTTTTTGATGCATAGGCCTAATGAAGTGGTTAGAAGAATGTTGGGTTTTCTAAGTGCTCACAGTCACTTTTAATTGCGCGGGGGGCATTTTTAAATTGGGCCAGGAGGAATAATAGTGGATTTAATCCCTATCATAATGCATATTGTTCACACTTTTCCGTTATGAGTGGAGGAGCGATGAATGAGCTGCAGATAAACTACAATGCTAACAGTGAATTAGCCCCGAGCGAAAAATGCTAACCTTTTACTGCACCGAAATCCCTCCTAGCGCCCTTATTACTTATAGCTCCACATCCAACAGATTGTTTATGATCGTAAAGACACAGAATCTAACGGTGCCCACCTCTATAAGCAATAAAACTGCAATTCCGTTATCTGCTGTGCTCCGTGCGCTTTGAAATCTAATCAAAAGTTGTTTACCTCAATTATTTGGCGTTTCTGCATCGCCCGGCTCTTTCGTTCTTTCAGTGGTTTCTTGTGCTGAAATATGGAGGGGACGGCTCCGGGTTTCAGCCTCCGACGTGCTATTAATGCTTCTCCACCAACAGACTTCATGATAGCAGGATCAACGTCGTATGCATCACACGCAAAGTGGTCAGAACACAACTTGCTCCATTTTGTCGGTTGCCATTCAACACGATTCACTAAAAAAATCAATTTTTTGCGGATGATTTGGTCTTTGGGAAATGCATGTAAAACTCTCCCAGATCCTGCACCGTTCGTACAACAAAAAGCTCAACAATAACCCATGTTAATTCAGTTTTTTCGAAAAACATGTGACCGAGACTGCCGAGTCGGGATATTTGGTCCAGAGACTGTTTGGCCACTATTACGTCACGCGCGCGGAGGCTGCTGGGAATTACATGTCAGAAATTCAGACGGCTTTGGGTCGAGTTTTGGATCAATAAAAAGCTTTTCTTTGGGTGTATTATCTCGATTTAAATAACATAAAAAATACAGGCAGTCTTAAAAACAACATTTCTATAAAAATGTAGCATATTTGGAAGCTTTGCATTTGATCTTTAACGTTTATGAATGTACCTCCTTCATTTGACTGGTCCACTAACTTTAGATGAAAAGTTAAATGGCGACACTTCCATGAAGACTTAAATATAGCCAATATTAGCAAGGTTTAATGTGTTTAAATGCCGAAGATAAGGCAAAAATTGAAGTTGGCAGTAGTCTGGTAAACAGCCGTATCGCGTCTGGTAAGCGGATCCGTATCGCATCTGGAACGCGGAGAACCATATTGAAACGGAGCTGGACCAGTGCTGGCCCATATCTGCCGCAGATCCGTTTTGCGGATCCGATCCAGTTTCGGGCCGATGTGCGTTTGGACAACGGACCGAGTCCGTTTGGCGGATCCGGGCCAGATCGTCTGCTAGGTGCGGCCCAGATCCGGCCCAGTGTCTCTTTGTTATCTGGGCCGGTACAGGAGACATGCCCCTTCGGGTAGTTGTGGAGCACCAAAGACGGGCAGACAGCAGTGGATCATAACCAGGCTGCAGTTTGCACACGCTATTTGTTGTTGTTTATATCACGCAGTCTGTTCTTCTTCTCTGTTTTCCGGTTGTTGCCTATTTTTAATGAATAATACACACTACCGCCGCCTGCTGGTAAGGAGAGTTATTGCCACTCACGCACTGAAGTCTTTGCGGTGTGTTCCCGTGCGACACATGGCCAAGACGCAGGAGAACACCGCGACGCAACAGCCGACGTCGGCGTCGGCGAGTCCTCTGGTGACTGCTTGGTGTGTCAGGGCCTTTAGATCTGAAACAGTGAGACAAACCAATGTTAATTGTGTCTCTTGTATTTTGAAATGACCATGAACAAAGACTTATTTTTTGTAAAACTTGATCGTTTTTATGTGCACCATTTCAGCTAAAATAGGAAGAGAAAAGAAAAATGGCAGGTTACAAAAAGTAGATCGATCAAAAGCTGAATCATTGAGGAACATTAGGGAGGTGCAAAAGAAACAGAAAACAAAAGTATAAACTACAGAAGCAATACAAGAACAACACAGGAAGAAAGACAGGAAAGTATAGATACGCATATTGCGTGTCCACAGTCAGTGCTTCATTCCTTTTCACTAGAGCCGCTCGAGGTTAAGGTTTGATATGACATTACAAATAAGACTTCTGTTTTTGGCACCCTATCTGCCTTGGGGAGAGAGCCGTTCACATTCACAGATATGTTACTGTTTTTTAAGTTGAGGGAATGACTCAACCCCTCAGTTATTCGGATACCAACAGTGACATGACCAATTCTCCCAAAGACACGGTCACTCACACTTATTTAACTTGCTTGGTCTACGAACCACATTGTGTATTCAAGCAAGTCGATCGAGACATAAATACAGAAATGTAGTCAACCAATTGAGTGCTGTGAACGCTTTGACTACTATCCGCAAAATAAACCAAGCATGTAAAAGGTTATATTTTCAGTTATTTGGTTTGACATCACAGTTAGTGATGTTACGTATTGCGCTGAGGCTTCGGAGCGTGTGTCGAGTAATCCCCGAAGCTTTTTGTGAAGCATGTATCGAGGCTTGTATCGTTTTGGGCCAGTGACGTCATCGATGACAAACGAAGCCTCGCTGCCTGTCAATACCACGTGACTGCTTCAGGAAGCCATTCAGATCGGTTGAACCGTTGAACCACAACGCTCATAATACCCATGGATGTATAACAAGAACCATATTACCCCTCCTGTACCCGGGCCCGGTGACACGATGGAATCAAGAGAGCTCAGACCCTCACTTATATAGAGGTCGGAACATGTCATAAGTATAAATAGATACAAGCATAAATAAATGTAGGAATAAAAACATCAATAAAAACATGAATAAATACAGGAATACATATGTTGCAGTATTTTCAGGGAACTTTAGTGTGTGTGCTGTGGCTCAGCTGGAAAACAGTTGACTCATGACCGCAGGGTCCCTGGTTCAACGACTGAACAATACGTCTTTTTTGTTGTTTATAAAAGCTACAGCTAAAGGAGATAATGTAGTTAACAAATGTATTCTTTGATATGGTTTAGCCTTTCTCAGGCTACAACATGGTTAAGTTTATGAATATTATTAAGGAATACAAATCCCTCTTTGCAATGTGTACCAGCCTCCTTAGGCTTTTCAATCACAATCATTAAACTGGAATAAATACAATATTGTTAACATGAAAATATGATTTTATGTTCGTTGTTTAGAGTTATTCTAAGGCTTTACTCAATGGGAACTCTGTATGAGATGATGGAGCACACTGTTGAGATGTCCAATCTGCCTGTTTTACACACTTTGACCAACAGGGGGGTTTGTGTTCAAATGAAGCCCATGATGACGCCTCATGAGATGAACCCTTTTGCGAACCAATTGGCTGGAAAGCTTCAAAGCTTCATAAGGCTTCATCTCGCCATCACTAATCACAGTTATACCCATATACTTTTTGACACCGACATTTTTGGCCGGTTGATTGCACACAATGGAAGGTGGTAAATGTAAGGTGCTAACCTCTTCCTCTCAGTGTCTTGTAGCTCACCTCATGGTAAATGTCTGAGCAGCTGAATCACAACTGCCTAAGTGGCTCCAGTGATTGGACTGGTCCATTCTTGTTAAACCAGAGGTGTGTTCTTGATGAACACTTAATCAAAGCCCCCCTCCCACCTTTTAAAGAAGAGCCATGTCTTCTCTCCCCTGCAATTAACTATGTCTCTTGAGAGAGGAGGACTCACCATGTTTTCTAAACGTTCTGTGTTAATTAAGTTAAGCTCTAGAGTGTTTGTGTTAATAAAATCAACCTTTGTTTTCACTGATTCTGTTTGTAGGGCCAATCCTAAACAATGTGAATCATTTGCATTAATAAAATCCCTGTTCTTCCAGTTTTAAATTGTACTTTGTCCTTCAGTCAGCTTTGAAAAAAGTCTGTGTTTTAAAAAATATGCTTTTGTGGAA